TTCTTCATAATGTTCGCACCCACCCCCCACGTTTAAAAAAAATCAATATTAAAATCAAGCAGGACAGTGGCAGATTCTTGCATGGCCGCTGTGTCCTCAAAGTTGGAAATGTGATTTAAAAAAGACGAACAAACACCCAGCTGGAAGAGGAAGAAAAGAAAAGGTTCAACGGTGAGTTCAGAGCCCAACTCCAGAGAGGGTGGCGTGAGTGCAGACGGAAGGCCTTTTTGTCCTTGAAACCTTTGCTAAATAACTGCAAAGCAGCAAATCTGCTCTCTATTAGATGAGTCCTTTGGAAACATGCCAGTCTAATTTCAAAGAGTTTAGATCCTGTTATCTGTAAACCAACTCAATGATTAGGAGACCTGAGATCCCCAGATTACAGGTACGGGACCAGAAGCCTTCCAGAATGCCTCCCAGCCTCCACCCTCTCTGCTTCTGGGGGAGAAGTTCACACCACCAGCAAAAGACACAGAGAAGGAGCACTTCTCACTTTCATATTGTTTTGCTTGGCCTTCTGCCATTTTTTTTTTTTACTCCTCTTTTTGCTGTCCCTCCAAAGCTCAGCCCCATCTCTTTGTCTGTGTGGCCACTTTCCCCAAAGGTGTTTTTCTTTCCCCGAAAAATGACTATTTCATTTACAAATTGCATTGTGTTCGAGCTGGAAGGAACTCAGACTCTCAGGTCATGAGGGGGCGGTGGGGTAGGCAGGAGAAGCAAGGAGCCGGGATGGACTTGCCCAAGATCACTCAGCTAATTAGTGGAGAAAGTATTCTAGAATACAAGTTTGCCAGCTCCTGGGCTAATTATCTCTCCAATGCACCGCTGCAGGAAAAAAAAAAGGGGGGGGGGAGAAAAAGAAAATCCGACTCTTTAAAAAAATAAAAAAGAAAGAAAAGGTTAACTGCATAGAGGAAGCCCCTTTAAAGAAGAAGCGTCGTCCAACCATTGACAGAACCACTGGTCTAAGATCAGTTTCTGCCCAATTCGAAGCCTGGAGAGTCACTGAGTTTCCTAGGGATGATCTATTAACAGGTGCATTTTAAGCCTTAGGTGATTTGCTTAAAATTGGGGGGGGGGGATGATATGAAACATGCTGGCCAGGCTTGAAAAAAAGTCCCTTTCCTTATTGAAAAGGATCAACAATAGTCAATCTCTTACCTCAAGGGTGCCCTGAATGTGTAGCCCCCACCCCCACCCCAGCAACAGGCTATTTCCTGGTTGAGTTTAAAAATTCAATGACGTTCCTGTTTCAACCCACACATCTGTGTCACTGTCAGCGTCAGTGGCAGGAAAACAGACGAAGTCACCCTTTGCTAATGATTTCCTAACATGGAATTTCCTTGTATCTCCTCAAGCCTTTCTTCTTCTAAAGCCAAACTGTTTCCCCCCCCTCTCAAACACACTGTACTGCAGGAAAACTAAAATGGTCACGGCCGGAAGGGATGATTTCTAAGGAGATCTTATAAGGAAGCGCTGCAGATCTTTGTGATATTTTTAATGTGTGTGCGTTGGGGGGGTGGGGTGGGGGAGAGCTGCTAGTTTTTCTAAAGCCAATGTGAACAAAACGGAGAGATTTTTCTCCCAGGCATCTGGGAATATCTCAACCCCTCTCCTGCCTCCCTCTTCCCAAGTTCCACTTTGAGCAACATTCTTTTATCAGTATTAAAGGAGACACACGCACGGTCTGCTCGCGTGGGGACCCGGGGGACAGAGGGCAGGGCAGCACCCAGAGTAGCGGACAGGCGGGTGGAGGACCAGCAAAGCACAAAGCCATGGAGGAGCCCATGCCCTCTCCGGTCTGGAGACCATCCCATTTTAATATGCCAACTGGTCATCTAGAGAAAAGAGGGATGTTACTTTAAGGCAAAGAAGCTGATTAGCTGCTCTGGCTGGCAGCAAACAGCTGGTCTGTCCGGCAGGTTCAAGGCCATTTCAGCTACTCTCTTATGGAGGCACCATATGTTCCATCTCGCACATCAGCAGCTTTATTTTCCAATGATCTTGCTCCAGAAGGGAAGCACAAAAGGGGGAGGAGAAGGTAGAAGCCGCGGTTTACCCTTTGAGTACTTTCTCGTGGTTGTAGGTGCAGTTGGGATGTGTGTGGGGGGGGTGGCGGTGAGGGGGACGGGACGTTAGGGCTTCACCTTCGATTCCAAAAATGAGAGAACAAATGTCTGACCAACACTGTCGCATAACGTCCAGAGATGGGAGTGGAGTGGATGGGGGGAAACAGGCAAAAAGGCACAAATAATTTGCCGCCCGTGAGATTAAATGGGAAGGGGGTCGAAGGCAGCGAGAGATCCAGAGATCGAGATCAGATCGGGAGAAATCTGACTTCGCTCTTTGGACCCCGCCCCCTTCTCCTTATTTGTCAATTTTTCTTATTGTCAGTGTCCCTTTCCCCAACAGAACAAACTTTACGAGTGGAGCGGACGGCTTTGGCGAGGGCGGTGGGGGCGGAGGCGCGGCAGGCCGACGGGTGGCGAAAGGTTACTTCTAACAGGTTAACATTCCTCGCTGCAGTCCGAGTGCCCACGAGTTGGGGGGGCAGGGAGGGCAGGTGTAGGGGATACGGCCCCGCTAAATTCTCAATCCAACTAATGCCGGTAGCCCACGCGTCCTGGACACCCCCAACCATCCCGCGCTGGGTCCGCGCAGAGGCGACACAGCGACCCACGGTCCGGAGGTGCTTCCCCGTCCCCGCGGCCCGCCTAGGCTGCGCGAACCTCCGAGGCGGCGGTTCCGACTCCCTCCGGGCCTCCAAACAAAGGGGGACCGCGGACCATTTAAGCCCCGGAGTGGGGGGGAAGGGGGGCTGCGGGGAGGGTGGCCGGCGGGAGGGCGCAGGAAGGAGTGAGGAGCGTAGCCGCAGGGTGGCGAAAGCCTCACAGTCACGGCCGTCGTCTCAGCCACCCGCGGGCGCGACAGCCGCCCGGAGCCGGGAGGTGAGGGGCCCGGGCTGCAAAGCGAAACCGAGGAAAGGGCGCCCCCTATGCCCGCGCCCGGCGAGCGCAGCGGCGAGCCGCATCTGCCCTTCCCGCGGAGCGTGCTCGGCCTCTGCGTCCTCCCGCTCGCCGCGCAGCCCGCCGGGCCGTCCCGGCCGCTGGAACCCTGAGGATCCGCCGCGGGCAGGCGGGGCGCGCGGTGGGCGCCAGGAGCTCGAGGGCTCCCCACGCCTGCTGGGTGCCCGGCGAAGGTCTTCGCAACACAGCCCCTCCCCCACCGCCTACACTTGCCCTCCTGTCCCGAGCGACTCGAGGCCACTGGGAGGCAGCCGCCCCCGCCCCCTGTCTCTGCGTCCCTTTCCCCCTTCCCTCTCTCTAGCCTCCTGGGAAACAAAGGGGCTTTTTATAAAGCGGATTGTTGGCGGCTGCGGCGGCGGGGGTAGGAGGGAGGGGGGATCTATAAAGACAAGAAGAGGTGGGGTGGGGGGAGAAGCTGCGCGGCCTCCGGGAGCCCCAAGCGGCCCGGCGGCCGGGAAGCCCCCGCGGGTGCGCGGCCCACCCCGCCCGGCCCGTGGGCACTCGGGCGGCGGCCCGCGTCTGCCAAGGGTTGGGCTGCGCCGCTGCGATGCTGCCCGCCGGCTCGCCGCAGCTGCCCGGGAGGGAACACGATCGCCGGGGCCGCGGGGCAGAGGCGGTGGAGACCGCACGGCTCCCGCGGGGTTCTCCCCGGGGAGACCCGGGCCCTCTCCCCGCCAACTCTTTCGAAATTGCTTGGGCTCGGGGAGACTTTGCGTCTTTGTTCCAGCGCGGCCGCCTCTCGTACGATCGGCTCGCTCGCCCTTACAGACAATGTCCCGGGGCCGGCCTCGGTAGCCTACCCGCAAGCGACACGTTCGCGGTGGGGACGGCACCCCGGGGGGATTCCTTCTGCTGCCAAACAACGACGACAAGCCACCCAAGCAAGTGGAGTCCCTGCTCCCCACGTCCCCCAGGCATCCTGTGCTCCCTCCCGCGCACACACTCACAGCCACACTCGGGGTGCCCGGCTCAGCCGCACTGAGCTGCGCGAGCACCGTGGGGCTGAGCCCCCGGCCCGAAGGGCGTCAGTTTCCTCGGGTTCCGACGACTTCAGGGCAGTTTTCTGGCAGGCTAATCCTATTAGCGTCTGCTCAGTCCGCGTTTAATCACGGATCAAAATCAGACGGTACGGCCAGCTTTCCAAGTGCCTTCGGACACACTGCATCGGGACAGAGCCTAGCCGAGCCAACTGGCCCAGAAAAGTATTTGGCGGCGCTCCGGGGGGCTTCCCGCCCGCCCTTGCCGGCGCCGGGCGCCGGGCTCTGCCGCCGCTCCGAGGCCTGGGAGCTCCGAGCGCGGGGGCGCCGGGAGCTCCGGGCAGGAGCCCAGTCGGGGCTGCCTTGAGCCGCCAGCTTCGCTCGGGGCTGCTCTCCAGAGGAGGATTTGGCAGGGGAGGGAGCGCCAGGCAGCGGGCTCGGCGCACGCACACTCCACACTCCCGCTCAGTGGCGGCAAAGCGGGTTGGGGTGTGTGTGTGTAGGGGGCGGTGGAATCCTTTGCCCAGCGCCCACTGTCCACCGGCCCAGGCTCAGGGAGCTGGCATGCGATGGGAGCGTCGCCGGTGGCATCCGGGCGCCAGCGGCCCGGGGGGGCGCCGGAACGGAGTGAGAGCCTCCCGGTGAGCCCGGCGGGGCCAGAGAAGCCCGGGTGGCTCGCGCCCCTCTGCCTTCCGCTCCCACCCCCCGCCCGCCCCGCCGCCCCCGGCACTTCACCGCCCCCGCCCGGTTCCAGACACCCGATGGGCGCCGGGGAGCGGGCAGAGGCCGAAGTCCCGGGCGACGGGAGCTGCGCTCAGGCCGGCCCCGGCCAGTTCGAGAGGGGGGCCGGCCGCGCGGAGCGCCAGGTGGGCCGTGTGCTCGCAGCAAACTTTGGGGTCCCTCAGATCCTCCGCGACGGGAACCACCAGTGTGGGCCACAAGTGCACCCCGGAGCCCCCAGAGCGGCCGGACCTCCCGCTCCCGCCCTCAGCCTTACCGTGCTGCGGAGCTCCCTCGGCGGCGGCGGGGGCAGTGCCCGAGGGGCGGGCGGCCGCCGGCGCAGGCAGCCTGGCCTCGGGCACCCGCCGAGCGGAGCGGCCCGGCCCGGTTGCGGATCACCCCCTGGCTAGCGGCCGGTGCCCCCGCGCCCGCCCGCCGCCGGCTGCTTCAGCTCGCGGCCAAGTTCATGCCGGCGGCGCTGCAGTGGCGGCCTCAATCTGCTCGCTCCATTCCCACCGCCCGGCTCCGCGCCGCGCGCCCGGAAGGTGGAGTTTCGGGGGTTTAAGTTACTGATAGGCATTTCTCACTGCTGTGTCACTCGGGGAGGAGGAGACACGCACGCCGCACACTCACACACCCTCACACTCACGGCGACGAGCGGCCCCGGCCTTAAAGGGGAAGCTGCGCTGCCCCGCCCGCGACCCCGGCAGCCCCGAGCCCCCGAAACGCCGAGTTTCCAGGCCGGATGGGGCCGGGGCAGCGGAAGCGCGGCGGCCGCCCCAGGGGCCTCCCCGGCCCTCCTGCCACTCTTCGAAAGGGAAAGCGGCCGCGGGCTGGCTTCCCTGCGGTCGCCTCGGTCCTCCGGTCCACTGGAGCCGGGGCAGCCGGGGAGGGCGGGAGGGGAGGACGGGGGCCGCCGCCGCACTTACCTCGGAGGCTCCGCGCGCAGCAGGAGGCGGTCGGCGCCCTCGGCGGCAGGTGGCCCGTCTAGACGGTGCGCTGATGGGGAGGAGCGACAGCGGGGTGACCGAGAGCCCCTGGACACGAGCGGATGGAGCTCGCCCGAGGGCAGCAGGAAGAGCCCTGCGCGCTCGGGAAACCCGCACGCGGCAGGTAGCCTTCCCGCGTCTGGGCAGAGCAGGCTGGAGAGCCGTGCGCGCCCCTGACAGACGGAGAGCAGCGGGGAGAGCGGGAGCGCCAGCTCTCACCAGCGACAGGGCGAGACAGCGCGCGAGACTGGCAGACACCGAGAGGGGCAGAGGGAAAGACGGAAATCGAGAGAGGCACCGGCAGACCGACAGAAAAGGACGGAGACAGGGGGCTAGAGGGACACCGGGGAGAGAGTGGGGGGACACAGAACGACAGCAGGTCCCTGGGAGACACCGGAGCGGCACAGGGCAGGGAGTCTCACCGTAAACTAGCCTGTCCAATCCACTCCCACCCGCGGCACACACACACCCCTTTCCCATTCTGAGCGGAGACTGACCCCAGGGCTGGGGGCTGGAACCCCCTCCTCCCTCGTCCTAGGGGGGGGCGCTCACCTTCAGTGGTGGCTGTTGGGTAGGTAGCGCCTGTCCCACTGGCGCCGCGTCTGCTAGCTGGCTCTCGCCCGGACAGCCAAGCCGACCTGCTGTGACGGCAGTGGGGACCAGTGCTCTCAGGTGGCAGCTACAGAACTGCACCCCCCAGCCTAGTGTCCTCCTTCCCCCTCCCGTCCCCCGCCCTCTCCCTCATCCCCTCCTCCGCTGCCCGTCAGCACCCCCACCAGCACCCCCACCCCACCTCCGCGCAGACCTTGTCTGTGCTGCCCGCCACTATGCCCAGCCAGGAGCCTAGGCGCGCCAGCCAGGCTCCCGCCCCACCGGCCCGGAGGTGGAAGCCCCTTCCCGAGCTGGGCGCAGCGGTCCGCTCTCTGCCAGGGGTTACCCCGGGGCAGACACCTGCGGCTTCTGCAGGAACATGAGTTCCTTGTGAACCGCCCGCCGGCAGGAGCGCGCTCTCCGCCCTCTGCCCTCGTGCGGAGGCCGGCGGCTCCCCTCCCCCCACACCCGGGGACTGGCCTGCGCCCCTTCTCCGGGATCCCCGGCCGGGGTCCGTTTCCTAACCTGGACTTCCTGGCTGGTAGCCGCCGCTGGGGCTGAGCTCGGCCCACGGACGCCGGCCGCGTCTGGTCCGACAGCAGCAGCACCCGCGAAGCCCCAGAGCCCAATCACAGCTCCTGGCCGCACCTCGGAGTAGCTAGCGACCTGTCTCCACCACATCTGGTCGCACTGGGCCGAGCCGCGGGCCAGGAATAAAGGGGTGGGCCCGCCGCCCACTCGGCCCCTCCTTCTCCCTGCGCCCACGCCCTCGGCCCTCGGAAAGCGCTGGGGCCCCCTATGAGAACCAACCAAAGTCCCTTCGTGGGCTACGTAGGCGAGATGGAGCTGGGCGCCTGCCTGCGAGCGTTTCCCAAAGTTCCCAGGCTGAGCAGCGGCGTCGGCGCCTACCGCCAGGCACAGGTGTCAGACTCCCTCTCTGAAGCCCCCGGTGCGCCAGGGCGAGCGTGGCCCCACCAGGCGCCTTGCGGCTGCAGGGCTCAAGCCCGGCTGTTGGATAGGAATCCACCTTGGCCGGGTCCAGAGGAGGCTGCTCTGGAGAGGGCCAGCGGCCTGGAGAAGTTACCCCTCTCTGCTGAAGGAACCCATCGCACCCCCTACCTTCACCCCAGACACCTCTGGCCTGTCCCTTCCTGCAAGGAGGGAGCATCATCCGAGAGACACCATGTCCCCTTCAGCGAAAGAGAGCTCCCGTGTGTCTTGAAGAGAATCTCATTAAACACAGCAGACCGGGGGTGTGTGTGTGGGGGAAACAGCAGGGTGGGTGATGTCCATACCCCCGAGTGTCCTGGGAGCCTGTAAGGTGACAACTGCACCTGTGTCAGATGGCCAGTTGCCTGCTTGGCACTGCCACCTGGATGGCCACTAGATATCTCAAATTGCATGTGGCCTGAGCGGAGCTCCTGGTCATCCCCAAGCCAACCTCAGCTAATGACAGCTCCATCATTCAGGTTGCCCCAGCTGGGTTCCCTGGAACCTTTCTTGATTTCTTCTCTGACACTCACAGCCCACATCCAGAGGGGCAGACGACTCTGGTTCCATCTTCAAAGGGCACCCACAATCCCAGCCTTCCCTTCTTCTCCATCCACTACTCCCCTAGGGCCCTACCACCAGCATCTCCCACCTGGGTTACCCCAATAGCCACCTAACAGGGGGCTCTGTTTCCTACCTCCCCCAGTCACCTCCTCCCTCAATCCCCGTCCAGTCCCTGATGTCTACACCCCTGCAGTGGCTCCCCAGTTCACTAGGTAAAAGTGAATTGCTTCTGGCAGCCTAGAAGGGCCTGCACGACACGTCCTGGTCCCCCAGTCTGGATGATATCCTCTTCCCTTGCTCAGCTAGCAAGCTCCAGGCTTCCCAACTCTTCCTTAACACACCAGGCACATCCCTCAGGTCCTTTGCACCCACTGTTCCCTCTACTGGAGTGCATTTTCCCAGAAATCTCTGGGGCTGGCCCCCTCATTTCCTTTAATATCGACACAAATGTCACCTGGCCTCCCTATGTAACATTTCAAAGCCCCACACCCATCCGTGGCACTTCCTCTCGCCTTCCCTGCTTTGTTTTCTCTTTAGCACTTAGCACCAGCTGACCTCTATAGGTTTGAAACCAGGAGGGCTACCGCCAGGGCCTGCTCTACCCTCTGCTGTCCTTGCAGCTCCTAGCACAGTGCCTGGCAGCAGATACGAATGTTGGTTGGATTCTATTTTCTTGGAACTCTTCAGGAGACCCTGGGGGTCCTGGACTTGTACACACACACGGGGAAAGGGGTCCATAGCTGTGGAACGTCTTTGGTTTCCTGACCTGAGCAAAGGATGGAGGTCAGGCAAAGAGCTTTGCATTAGCCACGACACCAGCCTCAGGTCAGGTCGGCGAGTGGCACTGTGGTCCAGGTGTGCCATGGCTTTCAGTGACGGTTGGAAACAGGTTCCCTGTGGTTGCCACCTTGGGTTGGTGCAAGATTGATGGGGGAAGTAGGAGAGGAGGCCAGAGACATTGGCTGGATGAGGGCCTTCTCCACACTGAAGAGACTGGCGATGAGAGTCTTTTGTCACCCAAAATGCAGACCAAGTCCGGAGCTAACAGCTCCCTACAATTACTGAGGCTCAGTCTGTGTTTCGTCCGCAAGAATCCCTGCACACAACGCGGTTTAAGCCATCATCATCCCCACGTTCTAGATGAGGAATCGGGAGGCTCAGAGAGGTGAAGGGCCATGTGCAGGGTCACAGCTTGAGAGCTGCAGAGCAGTAAACAACTGGGCCTCAGAGCTTAGGCTGCGTCCACCTGCAGTGTGGCCATCCGCATTCAGCATGTGCAGTCCTGGGTCCAGGTGACAAAAGGAATCTCACAGGGCTCTCGAGGCGCTGCTCTTTTCCTGGGAGAACCTCCTGGCCTTGCTGCCGAGAGGCCGCCAGGACATCGCCATAGCTTGGGCTATGCGGGTCCAGGGGCATCATGCCAAGGCTGATGTGGGTCCTGCCTTTGATCTGCCCCAAACCTGGAGCTCAAGGGTTATGAAAACAGTCAGTGGCCATCTGTCCTATTCCTATGAACACATACTAAGTTTTCCTGAGTTTTTGTGACAAATGCTGGGGGCGTAAGTGGGCCTAGAATTTGGAAAACAGGAGTACTGACTGCAAATAAACAAACATCCGGTTGCTCTGTTCTTCATTACTCCTCTGCTCCAAAGCATTCTGTGGCTCCCTACTGCCCATGGCACTCCATCCCAGCTCCTCAGGCCGGCATTCAATGCCCTCCCCTGGTGGGCCACGGCCTCCCATTCCAGATTTCTCACCTATTGCTTTCCCAGGTGCCCCTGGGCCTCCTGCCTGGCTGGACTGTTAACTGGACACCAAACAATTCCTGGTTTTTCCTACCTCTGCATATTTGCCCATGCATTTCCCCTCCCTAGAATTCCAGCTCTCCTGTCCAATTCCCACCTGACCTTCGGGGCTTACCTCAGAAGTCTCCTCCTCCGTGAAGCCCGGCCTGAGACCCACCAGAGTGCCGTGTAGGTGCCCTCCCTCCCTCGGCCATCCATATAGCCCCTTTGTATCTCGCTGGTTCTACAGGACCCTACCCCCGGCTCTGCCCACTTCCCTGGCTTACCAGGGACTTTGAGGATTCCCCCCAAAGCCTATGTGATGAACTCATGCTAGAGGGGGTTCGAGATGCCCTCTGCATGAGAGAATCCAGATCCAGAGGGAAGGAGAGAGGTAATGGACATGGCATCTTCCTTCTCACCAGCACCCCCCCCCCCACTATCCATATATAGAGGTTGTCAGCTGTGCCCATCCGGAGGTCACCGCTTTCTCCTGCTCCCCCGCCTCTCCCCTGCTTCCCAGCCCCCTGTAGCCACACTCCGCCCATGCAGAGGCTCTGCCCCGCAG